CAAGTGTCTCCTGGCACTACGGCACCCAGAGCACCTTGAACTTTCCCCTTCCAACATGCACTGTGCTTATATAATTATGGGTTTAATTGCACTTGGTGAGTACCACATGGGGAAGGAGGGGCCTTGTGTGTTTTGCTCATTGCATTAACCCCAGTGCTTAGGGCCAAATAAGGTTCACACATTGCAATTCCTGCATGTGGCTCTTAAGTCTCTTGATCTATAGAGGAACGAGTTTTTAATTTTATAAAAACAAATTATCAACTCCAGATTATCCACAGTGGTGGGTACAGAAGCTACCAAATAATGCCTAATCCTCTGTTTCTAAAATGCAACTCATCTCCCAAACCCTGAAGGAACACTATGTAGGTTAAGGCCCCTGTTAGCTGCTGGGGATCCTGAGATGCAGGGCTACAATGGGCCCCTCTGGAATGGACCACACTATGAGGAAACAGTAACCCTGTGCCCACCAAGCCATGAGCCCTGGAGGAAATAGCTTCATGCCACAGTAGGGCTAGGAGGGGGATGGCAAACTCACATTTTAAAAATCTGAGGACATTTTCCTCCAGAAGAGAGGGGTGGGGCTGCTTATTCCCCTCCCCCACTAAGCTCTGGGATCCTGCTCTCAGGCCAAGGCCTTGCAGAGCCGCTGCATAAAAAGAAGTGCTCCATCCACATCATCCACACACTATATGCAGCAGCTAACCTCCTCGCAGATCCAAATAAGTCATGTTTGTTCAGCACTTACATGTGCTAAACTTAAGCTTACATGGGTTGTGCTATTTCATCCAGATAACAACTCTAGGAGAGAGATGCCAGGTGAAGAAATGGAAGATCCCCAGAATGCCATCACTTGCCCAAGATCACACATCCTGGTAAACACTAGAGCCACATGCCTCAGCATGAAGCTAGATCTCCTGTCCAGGCCCAGAGAGGGAGCCGCATTCTCTATGCCTGGTGGCTGCTGGGAGAGGCACTGAGGCCAGCGGAATGTTGTAATAATGCTGTGCCAGGCTCCATGCCACCTTCCTCCCTCATTCAACACCTCAAGACCTGAAAACACCCAGAGGCCACACAGCTGTGGATGATTCTGTTTCTGATAAAGACTTTTCTAAATGAGTCATTTCCTTCAAAAGGAAGAAAAAATGTTTTTAGATTGTAGCAGAAATACCCTCAAATCTACACCCACTCTCTAATCTGCTCAGGTCCCCAAACCCTGTGCCAAGAAGTACCCGTTGCTGGAGGACCTCACATCTGGCCTCAGACCTCTAGGGCCCAGGGACCTGAGGTCACAGTTGACCGGGAACCGCTCACTAGGCTCTCTCACTCAGGAGAGCTGGGCCTCCATCTTCGATGCCAGGGGCAGGAACAGACCTGCCTCCTCAGAAGCTGGCCTTCAGCCTATGTGGTCTTCATTTCCCTTCATTTCTGTCTGCTTCCGTCTTCCTCTTTCTCTGCCTTTGCCTATCTTCCTCTCTTTTCCTGGCACTCCAGTCAGACATTCACCCATTCATTTGTGTATTCAGTTTGGGCTCTGCCTTGGCAATCCTTTTTCACCACCCCTGGCTCTTGGCAATCTTTCATCTGTTTTCTGTCACTATAGTTTTGGCTTTTTAGGAATGTCATATAAATGGCATTATAGAACATGTAGGCCTGGATATCCTGCTTCTTTTATTTAGGATGATGTTAAGAGTCACGTATGTCATTGCATGTATTGCTGAGGCATATGCCACTGTCGTTAAACTACAATTGTTTGTTCGTCCACCAGTTGCTTGGCATTTGGGTTGTTTCCAGTTTCTGTCTGAAATGAATAGAGCCGCTGTGAACATTCATGTACAAGTCCTTGTATGGACATGCTTTCATTTCTCTTTGATAAAGACTTGTGAGTAGGATTGCTGAGTAGCATGATAAATGTATATTAAACTTTTTTTTTTAATGGCCAACCTATTTTCCATAGTGGTGGCATTTTTACATTCCTACAAGCAGTATATGAGTTCTCGTTGCTCCACATGCTCACTAACACTTGGGATGGTCCATCAGTATCATTTTAGCCAATCTCTTAGGTTTATAGCGGTATCACATAGTGGTTTTAACTTGCATTTTTGTATAATTATTGATGCTGATCATCTTTTATGTACTTATTGGCCATTTTATATATCTTGTTTTTGCTCTTTTCTTATTGTATTGTCATTTTTTTTTAATGAGTGGTCAGAATTTTTCTCATCTTTTTCAATTTTTCCCTTTATTCTCCCTACTCCCTTCTATCCCTCTGAACCCTTCTTTTTCTCCCATTAAGCCTCTGTCTGTGCCTCTGTCTCTTCCCCACTCTCAGAGTCATCCACTATTTCCCCCTCTCTCCCTCCTCTTCCTCCACTTCCTCCACTCATGTTCTCCCTTCCCCTCCAAGACACCTCAAAACCTGAGACTCTGACCTCCCTTACTGTTCTATATTAGAAAGAATTCCATCACAAGCCCACCAATTTCAGTCCTGGCCTGGTACCATGTACCAAATAGGAGGAAATACACTCTCTCCAGGAAGGCCTAGAGAAAAAAAGAGAGCAAGCCCAGGTGCAGTGGAGGGATGGCTTTGCATTCTGGCAACTCCCTCCTCCCTAAAAGTTAATAGTGTTTATGGATGGAAGGACTTTTTACGCAAACATAACATTGGAAAGTCGTGGGTGCTAAGTGAAGTTCATGCTGCTTAATCAGTGCTTCAACAGTCTCTGCAAACATAAGATTAGTTATTCACATAACAAGGTTCGCCCTGGCCCAGCTCCCAAGCCCGGCAGGGATTTACCTTGCCTAGTCACAGAGAAGGACCTGCCCAGCCCAGAGCCAAAACCTTTTCATCTCTGTTTGAGGGAACCAGTGTGACAATATTTTATTGCCTAGATCAGAACACTTGAAGAAGTGTTAGCCTCAGATGTGTGACCATGGAATGGAATGTGTGTTTTTTTTTAAAGACTTTTATTGAGATAGAATTCACATACCATACAATCCACCTTTCTAAAGCATACAAGTCAGTGGCTTTTATGTATATCCACAGATATTTGCAACCATTACTACTGCAATCTTACATTTTATCATAGTAAAGAGAAACCTTGTGCCCTTTAACTCTCACACCCATTAACTATCACCCCCATGTCTACCTCTGTCCCCCAGCCTCTAAAAACCTCTAATCTATGTGCTAGTTCCATAAACTTGCCTATTCTAGATGTTTCATATAAATGGAACCATGTAATGTAGTATTTTTGCATCTGGCTTCTTTTAGCAACATGTTTTCAGGATTTAACCATGTTCTAGCCTGTATCAATACTTTATTTTTATGGCTGAGTAATATTTCATTGCATGGATATACCACATTTTGTATATCTGTTTGTCAGTCTATGGACATTTGGGTTATTGCCATCTTTTGACTATTATGAATAATACTGCTATAACATCTGTGTACAAATTATCGTGCGACCTTGGGCATTACTGGGAGTGGACTTACTGGGTAATATGGTAATTCTATGTTTAATCATTTGAGGAACTGCCAGACTTTAACATTCCCATAAGCACTGTATAAGAGTTTCAGTTCTCTACATTACCACCAACACTGGTTATTACATGACTAGGATGGTTTCTGATCCTATGACTGAATTTTAACAATTTCACAATCACATATATTTACATAATCATCAACACTATAGTCATACATGCCTGTATACAGCTCTAAAGTTTGTACACAACTACACAGAATCCAAGATAGATACTTATAGTTATATATACAACCATACATACATATAATCACACATGGCATATGTGCATATCAATTTATAGACCCACATATATGAACATAATTAGACATATAATAGACCAACGCCATCACACATCCATATACAACTGTCATGGATTCTGAACAAACATACTCACTTGCACAGAGAGCCGGAGACAGATGCATTCAGTGAGGCATTCACATCTGCCCAAACACTCAGACTCAACAGTAGCCTTCAAAACCAGAGTCCCAATAGGGCACACATACATAATTACCATCACTTATGGGTGGGTAACTGAGACAGATTGAATGGCATGGAGATGGACAAGGTTTCATTAGTCCTTGGTAGGAAAACTTTTTCATTCACTTGTTTTTTAAACCACAACAATATATTGAGCACATAAGAAATATAGTGATGAATAAGATCAGTCCTTGCCTCGTGGAACTTAGAGTCTAGTGGAGGGATAGTTGGTAAATAAGGAAATGATCACAGTCTGTGATATGTGCCAAGAAGGAACTAGGCAAGGTAGCCGGTTAGATAACAGGCAAGGTCCCAGGAGAGTAGACAGTTTCCAGGAGCTTATATCTTTGTTGCTCCCTCTTTTGTCCTGGAAAAAAATGTGAAAAGGGTTCAGATTCATCTTCCATCAGTCATTAGATAAGCTGGGAGGCAGGGATGAGGGGGCGATCGAGGCGACCTGGTTTTACATTTTGTTTCATACTAGTTAGGTGACCTTTTCTTCTCTCAGTTCCTTATCAAAAAATGGGGATAACAGTACCTTTAATAAAGATGACCTTTGCCTGTAGAGCACTTCAAAGTGCCTGGCAAGTGCTAAGTTCTCTATCAATATTAGCCGTTGTATCATATTCTGAGAGCAGGTTTTCATAGAGAGAAGGAGGTGCATGCCCTGGGAGATGAGTGGGGAGGGGCCAGCGGGGACTGATCCAGGAGTCTGGCGGTGCCCTGTTGACTGTCAACCCAGCTAGTCTTCGTTCTCGGTCTTACCTGACTAGTCTTGGAATGCAGCCTTGGCAAGCCACCTCCCCATCCCCCCACCTCTCCAGGACATAAACCGATGTAATCCCGCCCTGCTCTTCCCACAAACCACAGACACTGCCCATGATGGGTAGTGCCGGGCACAACTCTTGGTTTCCAGCTGCATCAGGCCTTTCTGTAACAGCTCTGCTGTGGGCCTGGCTTGTGTCACTCACTGACTCAGCACGGCTGTCTTTTCTGTCTGTGTAGGTCAGCATGTATCACGCCACTCCTGCCTCCCCAGGACATTCCATGGCCATCGTCAGTCTGCCTGGCTCCCAGCAACATCTCTCAGCTAACATGTGAGTAAAATGATCAGCCCTCCACCCGGTCCTGGTGCAGAGGGGTCATCTTAGCCATTCCTCTGCCATTGAGCACTTCGAAGCCTTCCCATCCAAAGAGACAATGGCTTCCTTTCCTTTAAAATCACCAATGGAAATAATGGTGAAAAGTACAAATTAGGCACATCATCCTAGCTCATTATTTCACAAAGTAGAAAGAGACTAGAAGGTTATATACCAGAACATTGCTGGGAAATTGTGTACTGAGCAATTTCTATTGTCTTCCTTTAGATTCATGTTGGGTTATAAATAGATGTTGCTTTAGTAATCAGTTAAAAAAATGTACATTTTCTAGGTGGAAGAACTTGCAAATGAGAACTCTCCACCCCCAGCCCATCTAATAAAACCTCCCAGTGTCTCACAGTCCTTAGAATCTAGAAGGACTTGCTAAGGTCTAGCCTGAGGGCCATACACCGGTAGCCCCTAAAGCTGGCATGCCAAGTGAGTTATTTTCTAATGCCTTTAGTCACCCGGTATTCTCATTCCACAGCCTCACTATTTCCCAGTGTCTTCATCCCCGACTCATACCTGGATGTGACCCACCCGACTCCTGTGTGGAGTTCACCGTGGAAAATCCCTACTCTAACCTGAGGGCATTTTCAGCATACTAAGCTCATTCCCCTCCATCCCACTGTGCAGCCAGCATTCCACTGTGTGCCAAAGAACTAGAGCTAACCCTGCCCATCCCCAGCCCAGTGCCCAGTTCCCTGCCTACGTGAAGCTATCTCCTGGGGGCAAACAGGTTTCTATTTTCAGGAGAGGGAGTGAATGGAGGCTTCCAGCCATCCTCACATTTCCCTGAGTCTGCTGGCTGCACGTATGTTCTTGGGCAACCCTCTAAGCAGACTGAGAAAGCAGCCTCGGTAGATCCATCACGTCTGGGGCTGAGACTCACTGCCACTAATTTCTGGTCACCAGCTCCTATCTCCACTTGTAGGCCAGTGACCCATTGTCAAAATGCTGGTGTAGCCTAAACTAGTGACTTGCAGTTGTGTGACATTCTGTGGAGGTGGGGGGACATGGAGAGGGCAGGGATCGGGCCCCTCGGCTGTTTCGACCAGGTTCTCTGCCATCTTTATCTGCCTTACATACTAAGGTTTCAGTTTTGCAAGGTTGCTATCGCTAACCACTGGGCTGAAGGTTCCACTTCCCTTCACCCTTCGCCGCTCCCCTGCCCTCCCCTAGAGGTGTACTTCTTTGTCCTTCACCAGTGCCTTGTGTCCCCCAGGTTTGTAGCCCTGCACTCTTACTCCGCCCACGGACCTGATGAGCTGGACCTGCAGAAAGGAGAAGGCATCAGGGTCCTGGGGAAGTACCAGGACGGCTGGCTCAAGGGTGTCTCCTTGGTCACTGGGCGAGTGGGCATCTTCCCCAACAACTACGTCATCCCCATTTTCAGGTATGTTCCCTCCAATCCCAGGCACCCGGGGGAGGTGCCTTCTAGACCGGACCATTTGGAGATGGTTGAATTATTGAACAACTCAATGCTCTTACCGAGTGGGGGCCAAGAACACAAGAAACAGCTTTTACCCTAACACTTTAATTGTAAAAACATGTATATAGTTAAAACAGTTGTTTTTAAAAATATATATGTTGTTGTTCTTGATTTCAGAGAGGAAGAGAGAGGGTGAGAGAGATAGAAACATCAATGATGAGAGAGAATCATTGATCAGCTGCCTCCTGTACACTCCTCACTGGGGATGGAACCTAGGCATGTGCCCTGACCAAGAATCAAACCTTGACCTGATTCATAGGTCAATCATTGAGCCATACCGGCTAGGCATTAGTAGTCTTTTTTATAGTTCTCCAGTTTACAAGCACTTTCGCATTTTTTAACTCATTAGCTATGCCCAGGAAACCTTTAAGGTACATATTCTTTTACAAATGAGAAAAATGATGTACAGAGTTAAGCAACCTGCCTAGGATCTAGATTTCAGATTTTCTGTACAAATGCCAAAAATACCGCTTCATGTCCTCCACCTCAACACTCCATCTAGTGGCAGGATGGGGAAATGTGATGGCTGGATGACCACCCAGAGGACCTCAGGAACCTTCCCAGAAGCTGGGCCATGAGCAGAGTTTCTGTGAATTCAGACTACTCCCTGTCCATCCACACTCCAGGTTACCCTGCAGGTTTCAACCTTTGTCATCTCTGCCATATCTGTTGATTTCCCTGGCCCACACTTTGTCTAGCCACCTCCCACCACAACCTCAATGCACACAAACTCCCAAGCTACCCACGCCTCCTGCTACCTGTACCCCCACTAGCTCAGGCAAAGCCAAGGCAGTGAGGCCATCACCACACCAAATGCAGTCTTTATGACATGCCAGAGAATCATAAGTAAAGTGATTATCTCATGGTATGCTCTGGGAATCATCCCTGGAGTCAATAGTTTTGGGGGGACCTTCATATAGGCGAGGCACTGGGTCTGGAGGAGGGCAGCAAGGATGGTAAGCAGACAAAATCACATCAGGAAAAAAAAAAAAAACGATAAGAAGGGCTACTGTGTAAGATGTACTAAGAAGGGTCAGCGGTGCCATCATAGACTGTGTCCACCAGGAAACAGACTTATTCCACGAGGGGGCAGTGAACCAGTGGGAGGTTATGGTTCGAGGAAAGGCTGCCTATCAGGCTAGCAGGTGAGATGGCGGACCCCCTTTCTAGGAAGAGTGCAGGTTAAGTCTGGGTTCCCATAGGTCCAGGCTTGTATACAAAAGATTGGCAGGAAGTTGGGGCAGAAGATCCTAGTTATCCTTCAAAGGAAGGTTCTTGGAATTTGTTAGAAAGTAGCAAAATCTCCAAAAGCAAACTAAGGGTGTCTATAACTGATGCTTTAATTCATTTATTCAACCAGTATTTATTGAGCACTGACCAGTGACATGTGTTGGTCACCTTTCTAGACACCGGAGAAAACACCAGTGAACAAATTACACCAAATCCCTGCCCACAGGAGATTATATATAAGTGGAACAGACAGATCGAAAAAGAAGATGTATAAGAATATGTTAATGCTAAGGGCTAAGAAGAAAAATAAATCAGGAAAGGGGAATAGAATTTGTGTTTGTGTGGTGGGGATGGTGAGGGGGTGATTAAGAATCTAACAGGTTGGTCAGGGATGGCCTTACTGAGAAGAAGGAGAAATGAGGAAAGGAGGAGGGGAGCCATGTGGATCGCCAAAGGAAGTGTATTCCAGGCCAAAGGAACAGCAAATTCCTGAACAAAGGCCCTAGGGGAGGAATGTATCTGACGTGAAGGCCAATAGGCCTGGGTTAAATCTAGTGAGGATAGATTAGTAGGAGATGAGGTAAGAATGGTAACAGGTATGGCAGAGATGACAAAGGTTGAAACCTGCAGGGTAACCTGGAGTGTGGATGGACAGGGGGTCAGATCATAAAGCATTTTCTAGGTCATAATGAATTTGACTTTAACCCTATTGCAGGGGTTTGGGCAGAAGAATGACATGATCTAGCATAAATTTGAACTGGAATTCCTCTAGTTGCTGACTTTAGAATAAACTGTTGAGACAAAAAGCTCAAAGCAGAAAGACTAAGGAAATATTATCATAATCCAGGGGAGAGTGATGGTGAATTGAACCGGGTGTGAGCCATGGAGGGAGGGAGATGTGATTGGATTCTGGCTATACCCCAGATTTTCTGACAGATCCAGAAAAGGTGTGAAAGAATAGAGGATTTGAGGTGAGTCCAAGTTCTGTGCCTTGAGTCACTGTAGGATGGAGTTGCCTTTTATTGCTGTGGAGGTGAACACCAAAACAGGAACAGGTTTTCGGGGGCGGAAGGGAAGTGAATGCTTTCTTTGCAGCAGGTTAAGTCCCAATGTCTGCTAGTAATCCTCATAAAGATGTGGTTACGTATGCAAGTCTAGCATTTAAAGAAGAAGTCCAGGCTTGAGATGGCATTTAAAGCCCTAACTCTAGATGAAATCACCATGGTAGGATCAGGTATAGTTGAGAGAAGGGCAGTGAGCCTGGAGCTGAAATCTTCCAGGAATGAGAGGAGAGACCTGAGGAGAAATGATGATTGCAACAAGATGGGAGGGTCCGATAATATGTCAGAGCTCGGAGATACAGAAGGTGGGGGAACGGTCTAGAAGTGATACTGAGGAGCTAGGAGGACACCTGCTCTAATTCGCGGATAGTTTCTTCCGTGGGCTCTAACATGAATTCTCTAGAGCTGTGGACAGCAAAAACTGTGGCTTGCAAGCCACATGTGGCTCTTTGGCCATTGAATGTGGCTCTTCCAAAAAATATCACGGCATGGTCGAGTCTGTTTTTAAGAAGTGGCATTAGAGGAAGTTTAAGTTTAAAAAATTTGACTCTCACAAGAAATTTCAATCGTTGTATTGTTGATATTGGGCTCTGTTGGCTAATGAGTTTGCAGATCACTGCCCTAAGGCCAGTGTGCACTACCAGGGCATTTGCTTAGACACCAGGTCTTAGCATAATCTTCATTATGCCATGGAATAACTGATAGAATAAGAGTGACCATGCCCAGTCAGTGTGGCTCAGTGATTGAGCTTTGACCATGAACCAGGAGGTCATAGTTTGATTCCCTGTCAGGGCACATGCCTGGGTTTCATATTCGATCCCCAGTAGGGGCAGTGCAATAGGCAGCTGATCAATGATTTTTCTTTCATCATTAATGTTTCCCTCTCTCTCTCTCCTTCTCCCTTCCTCTCTGAAATTAATTTAAAAAAAAACATTGTTAAAAAAACTGATAAACATATAGTTTATCATCCAAAATAGGACATTTTTAAAAATATATTTTATTGATTTTTCACAGAGAGGAAGGGAGAGATATAGAGAAACGTCGATGAGAGAGAAACATCGACCAGCTGCCTCTTGCACACCCCCTACCGGGGATGTGCCCACAACCAACATACATGCCCCTGACCAGAATCGAACCTAGGACCCTTCAGTCCGCAGACCGACGCTCTACCACTGAACCAAACCGGTTTCGGCCAAAATAGGACATTTTTAAGAGAAAAGAGGGACACTTTTTTTAATCTTTATCGTTGAGACAGTTTAACAGATATCCCTCTTTTTTCCCCCATTGGTCCCCTTCACCTGGTCCCTGCCCCTCCCCAGATCTTCACCACCCTATTGTCTGTGTTCATAGGTAATGCATACTTGCATGTAAGATCGTTGTTTAATCTCTTCCTGGCCACCCACCTTCTGAGAATCATTCCCTCTGAGAATCATCAGCCTGTTCCATTTCCATGCCTTTGATTCTATTTTATTCACCAGTTTATTCTGTTCATTAGATTTCTTATTCGTTTATTTTTAGATTCATTTGTTGATAGATATGTATTTACTGCTATTTCACAGTTCATATTTTTTATCCTTTCCTTCTTCTTCCGAGAGAGGGACATTCTTAATACAGCAGGTGTAGAGACTCTCCTGGAAAAATTGGACATGTGGTCGCCCTAACTCGAATACACATAGAATTCCATTCCAGTGTCTTTCAGAGCTTCAGTTTCCCTCTTTCTCCTTCCTGGCTGTTCTCCTGTGTGGCCTTGGGCACATCAAGAGCATCTAGACTCATGCCCTTCAATGTGGCTGCATGTCAGTCATGGATAGAGTCTCAACACTAGACTACCACCCAGTCCATCTCCCCACCCCAGCTCACAGACATCTGATCATTCTCCTGTACTGAGGTGCTACCTATGTTAACAGGTGGTTTTGCTTCTAGGGAACTGGCATTTCCAAGACAAGTCCCTGCCACAGTACATCCTCCTGAGGTGACAGAGGGTCAGTGCTCTCTGTGTGGACATGTTTTCCTATGGCCCCCCTGACACAGAGGAAGTTCCCATCCCCACTCATCTTGGACGTAGATGACATTTATCCATTTGCCTGTCTGGGAGCAGCTCACCCTTATTATTATCCACCCTTTCCACTGTGAGAAGTTTAGTCCCTCCCCCTCCTTAGGGCTGAATGATGCTGTCCTTTGTCAGCTGGGTTTCTGCTACTTTAAACAGGTTGTGTTGGAACTGAGTGGGTTGGACACTCGTGTTCCTGCTCTTTGGTTGTGTGTGTGTGTGTGTGTGTGTGTGTGTGTGTGTGTGTGTGTGTGAAGTTCTCTCACCCCCATTGTTTTCTGTTTGCAGTGGTGGCTCTGCGCAGGCACCAGCCCCCTTGCTGGGTGGTGCCCCCTTTTACCAATAAGCAGGGCTCGAAGGTGTGAGGTGAGCCCTGACCATTTGAACCATGGCTCTCATTAGCTTCATCCCCTAACGGACTGAGCCAGCTAGTTTGGGGACCACCTATGCATAGACCAGAGATGACCAAAATGCCAGGGTTTGGGTTAAAGATTCACCAAGTGAGCCTTCATCACCAAAAGAGGGAAAGGCTGCTGTGCCACACAGAGCTCCAGCCTTCTGTGCGAGGAGGTGTGCACAATGTAGTGTGGGTTCTTCCTGTTGGGCAGCCCACTCCCCTGCACTGATAGTGTCACCAGGGACCAGAGGCAGGTTGATGGCTAGTCTGTCCTGTGTTGGGCACAACTAAAGCTCTGCCACCATGAGGTGCTTGAGTTCCTGGAGGCAGCATTGGCTCAGGTGGTTCAGAGCATCTGTCTCATTTTCACACAAAGCCCTTCTCAATACCACTAACACCCCTTTGAGTTTCCTCCTTCCTGCATAGTCTTGATGGGAGGCAGAAGTTTCCTCTCTTTTCAGAGACTGAAGCAATTAACAACTCCCTCCTCCTCCCCTTCCTCAACCCACCACCACAGCGAAGGGACAGGCTCAGCCAACCTGATACTTCCTCTTGGGACTCGGAAACCTGGACAACGGAGGAAATAATGTGGGCAAAGCTGAAGGCCACTCATGGCAAAAACATAAACAGTAGCATCTGATCAGACACTTCCCACCTCAGATTCCTCAGCAACCTCCTTTAGACCTGATTCTAAGCCTTTTCCACACCCTCCCGGCCTCCCATAAACTCCCTTCTGTCCAGTTAGCCAGGATATTTCTTTTTCCTGCAAACTTCGCCCAGTACATGTGCCCTCCCAGTGACTTGTGGGCCAGCATTCATTTCCTTTAACTTTCTACACAGAACTACATAAAAATGTCGAGGTCCATGCCCCTTTCAAATATTTGGCAAGTTCTTAAGAGCTCATGTCATGGATAGAAGAGAGGACATAGGATCTGTACATTCAAAGCAGCACAGTGGAGCAAACCAGAGGCAGCATGTGCTCCCTGCACTCACATCCAATGTCCCTCAGTCTCTCCAGCTAGAACACAAGCATCATGATGTTTGCAGGCCTGGGGTGTCATGGGGATTGATTAATATGTGTGTGCAAAGAGCTCTGATGTCAGAAGAAAGTGCTAGGGAAATGCTGAGCTAAGACACAGAGGGGCCTCATTTTAAATGAAGGACTTGAAACTTAGGAGTTTCTGGATTCAGCCTAGTGCTGGGCTAGAAAAAGGAGGTTGAATGTCAGTCTGTTTAAAGACAGGGCTGGTGGAAGAAAGCTGGCTGGGACCTAATTCCTTGCTGCTGCTGAAAACAGTTCTGGAAGCATTCTCTCCGGTTTTCAATCCATTTTGCAGCGTCTAGCACCTTAAAGCTTTGATTCAAAAGACAGGCAGATGCATGCCCTGGCCAGTGTGGCTCAGTTGGTTGGGCGTTGTGCCATGCATCAAGGGACTGCTAATTCGATTCCCAATCAGGGCACGTGCCCAGGTTGTAGGCTCGATCTCTAAGGTGTGTGCGCAGGAGGCAGTTGATCGATCAATGTTTCTCTCTTCTCCCTTCCTCTCTCTCTCTAAAAATAGCCTGTTGACAATTAAATAAAATAAAAAAATAAAAAAGACAGGCAGATGCAGACTATGCCATGGAAACTAGTGCTGGGAGTCTCTCTCCTCTAGCAGCTTTCGCCTCCAATGTAGTGTGGGCTCTTCCTGGTGGGCAGCCCACTCCCCTGTACTGATCGCACCAATGTAGTGGAGGCGAAAGCTGCTAGAGCTGTAGTGTAGCTCTTCCTGGTGGGCATCCCACTCCCCTGTACTGATCGCATCACCAGGGACCAGAGGCAGGTTGATGGCTGTGGACAAAGTCCCCTGGCTACAGGCATCAGCTCCTGGAGCATCGGGCTGCATATGTGTCTTGGGCAGGATTGGCTACGTTACAGACGAGGAACCAGGCTTGGAGAAGCTTGCCTAGTCACTCAGTCAGCGAGTTGGTGTGGTGAGATTTGAACCCAGACTTATCTATGAGAGAGAGAGAGAGAGAGAGAGAGAGAGAGAGAGAGAGAGAGAGAGAGAGAGAGAGAGAGAGAGAGAGGAAGGAAGAAGGGAGAAACAACATCGATGTGAGAGTATAACATCTATCAACTGCCTCCTTGGGCAGGATGGGCTACATTCATCTTTGTACAACATTATTAAACTACATATCACTTTTAAGCAAAATGAGAGAAAAGGAGGAAATTACCCAAAGAGAAACCTGGAAGCACTGACAGGCAGAAAACTAGGAGGGAGGAGGGAATCTCTGTGCAGGGGGGGGGGGGGGGGGGGGGGCCATGGTCAAGTTGGCTATTCCCAGGTAATTAGCCGAGGTTATTTCATCAGCAGAGTGACAAGGTGATGGATGGGCTGCTTAGGCAAGGCTGTGCTGCTGGGGGAGGATTGGTACAAGGGCAAGAAGGGCATGTAGATTGACAGCCATTCACCACGGGGTTCGGGGACCTGCGGGCTGGGAACAACGGAGGAGGAGTTGCTTGCTGTTTTACAAAATGTGAATACTAGCATTAAAAACCAGACCCTGAGGCTGAAGAATTAGTGTCTCATGGTGGCACATGTAGGGCCACCACTGCTTTACTTAGTTTCTCTCAAGCAGTATGCAGGCTTTCCTTGCTACCAAATGATGAATGCTCTAACTAGCCCCAAGGTAGCCTATGCAGTGGTGAGAGCGCAGGCCATGTCGCTCAGTGGTAGAGTAGTAGTTGCTGGGGCAAGTACCTCTAAATCTCTCTCTTTTTTTTTTCCATCTATAAAATAGCAGCACTCATAGTAACCTGCCTCAAAGGGCTCTTGTGAAGAATCCATGAGATCATGTGAGCAAAGCCCTTGGCTATTGCCTGGCATACAGTAAGAGCTCAATATGCGTTAGCCAGAATGACTGGCATCAGGGCTAAAAGCATCATGGCAGCCATTCAGCAAACATCCTATATAATAAAGATGTAATATGCAAATGGTCATTATGCCATGAAGCATAAGGACAGACTTTGTAATGACTGGATTACAGATCAACAGGAGGGTGGGGCAGCGAGCTACAAGTGGGAGACAGAGAGCTACAGGAGGGGGCAGGGCAGCAAGCTATGGGTCGGGGGGTGCAGAGGGTGATGGGAGCTACAGGAGGGCGGGGCAGTGGGTGGAGAGCTACTGGAGAGTGGCAGTGAGCTACTGGTGAGCACTGGTGCACGGATTCATGTGCAGGGCTACTAGTTTTTTCACAATTAAGGTCTGCAGAACATGTAAGTCATATAAAATTTCTGCCTTCAGAGAGCTAGAATCTAGTGGATAAGCCCCTGAATGGACAAAGCCAGGTGACCACGTAAAGGACCCTTATGAGAGCCTCTACCTCCCTCAGCTCCCACAGTCAGCAAGTGTAGGATGAGGCTAGGTTGTTAAGCCCATGTTGTTGACAAAAAGCGTATTTATGGTAGAAAGAGGGTAAAGCAGAGCCACATCAGGGGAGCTGGTAGGTTTTTAAAATAGGGCTCTTGACTGACCATTTGCTTTCTCTTTTCTTTTTAAAACAATTTCCACACCCAGAAAGACATCTAGTTTTCCAGACTCCCGGAGCCCTGGTCTCTACGCCACATGGACATTGTCGACCTCCTCTGTGTCCTCCCAAGGCAGCATTTCAGAAGGTGATCCCCGACAAAGCCGCCCCTTCAAGTCCGTCTTTGTGCCCACGGCCATAGTCAACCCTGTGCGGAGCACAGCCAGCCTGGGCACTTCGGGACAGAGCACTCTCCGGAAAGGGCGGAGCAGTATGAGAAAGAGTAAGTGGTGGCAGAGAGGTATGTGCCTAGAGCTAAGTGGCTGGTGGGGTGGAGTATTAACCAAGAGGGACAGGGTGCTTCCTGAAAAAAAAAAAAAAAAAAACAAGGATCTTGGTTTTAAAACAAGTCTCTGTGGAGGGTTTTTTGTTTTGTTTTGTTGTTTTTTGTGTGTGTGATTTCCAAATACTGAGCTGTTCTATTGGATGAAGACTGATCGACTCAAGGTCACTGCCCTCCGGTCACTTCCTACATGCATGTTGACTGACTGGAATGATGGCAGACCTGAGTGCCAATCTGTAATTAGAACACAGCCAAGGTGGATGCTGGCTTTCATTAAGAGGAAACAGCCAGCCCTAAGTAGATAGAGCGTCGGCCTTTGGACTGAAAGATCCCAGGTTCGATTCCGTCAAGGGCATGTATCTTGGTTGCGGGCACATCCCCAGGGGGAGGTGTGCAGGAGGCAGCTGATCGATGTTTCTCTCCCATCGATGTTTCTAATCCCTCTCCCTTCCTCTCTGTAAAAAAATCAATTAAATATATATTATTAAAAAAAGGGGGGGGAGGGGAGACAACCAAAGCACTTGCTGGAGCAGTGCTTCTCAAATTATGTTCCAGGGAACCCCTCAGGGGTGTCAGAAGGAAAAGAAAGTTAAGAAGGCAAGGCTAAGAGCCCCTGAATTCCATTTTGTTATTAACTAATCTCTGCATGAGGTTAAAGAAAAAAAGAATTATATTTTACAAAATTAAGTCTCTTTCATATTCTTAACCTCTAGTCTCAAGTTCTCTTCCATGTATTTCTGTACCTTATCATCATGTTCACTGTACTGTCCTGCACCTTGCTTTTATTTTCACCCATATAACAGCCACCTGCACACATGGCAGTGATATAGAGCTTTCTTCTTAAAAGCCATGTTTTTATCTCCTAACACGCTGACCTTCTACACAAGACCTCCTTTTCAGGGGTTTTATAAAGTATTTGAAACCCATTGTCCTACAAAACAGCAAGATTCTGTTATTTATTTATACACCTTCCTAGAAGGTGACAATGAGCCAAGCTAAATAAACTGGATTCATTCTGTGCTCTTTGATTTGAGCTGGACTCCGCATCTTAAAAAAAAAAATGATTCAGTGTGAAGATGCAATAAGACTGAATAGGCAAAGCAAAACAGTGAGACAATATGCCACTCAGGAAAATATTCCACTCAGGAAAATGTCCCAGAAACTTCATATCTTAGCTCCCTCACTCCCAGTGCTTTCATCTGGTCACCTGCTGGACCTCAGTGTCACCGCACCTGCCTCTCAGTTCCACTGACTGCCCTCCCTGGTTCTCCCTCCAGTACCTCCACCTTATCCCCACACTTACACACACACACACACACACACACACACACACACTAATTAATCCCACCATCACAGCCTTGGACCAGTTACTGACTTCTTCAGTCTTCAGTTCTCTCATTTGTAAAATGGGAATAAAAACAGTACCAACCTTGTAAGTGTTATTGTATGGATTTAATAAAATAATCCACATAAGATGGATGGCACAGCGCCTGGCCTGTGATAAGCTCTCAAGAAATTCTATTTTATAGTATTACTAGAGGTCTGATGCACAAAATTCACACATGGGTAGGGTCCATAGGCCGGGCCAGCCATCAGGGCCAATCTGTGGCGCAACCAGCAGGGCAATCAGGGGGCCCCCATTGGCACCTGCCTTGGCTGGCCTGGGGTCTGCAAGCTGGGGGCAGCTCCTGCATTGAATGTCTACACCCTGTTGGTTAGTGCACATCATAGCGACTGGCCGTTCTGCTGGCCATTCCACCATCCAGTTGATTTGCATATTAGGCTTTTATTATATAGGATTATTTTATTTGTCTCATCACTGCTACTGCCACTAAGCAGAGCTTCTCTGCTCCATCCGGAGCCTGTGCTCATGGAGTCTCAGCCTGGGTCACTTACAGAAGCAGGCAGTGCATCCTACCAGCTCTCCCTCCTTTCAGGGGCTCGCTCCCTGCCTTTGCCCACATCTTGGTTAACTTGGAGTTCTGACTGTTTGCATTGTACTCACATGCAATGAGAAAGCATTAGCTCTCTGGAAGTTAGGAACCAACAAAATAAACAGGTAAAGCATAAAACCAATTTTTCACACGTTTCCGGGAGCCTGAGCCCATGTCTGCCCTAGGCCACATCTGCTCTGACTTTGCCAGATCCAGGAGGCTCTCTCTCTCCCCCCTACTGGAGGTGAAGCTGGTCAATCTCTCAGTCTCCCCGAAGCGAAGAGAAATGACCTCACAGGGCTGGCAGTGGCAAAATAAATGTCGCTTTGGAAAGGTCAGACTTGTAAATAGTGACTGGATTGCTCGCAGCGGCTAGGAAGACCAAAAGTGAGTGGCAAGCATTCTGCATTTCATGTTCATGTCCGGCTTGACAGAGTCACAGCTCAGAACAAGGCCTCAGCATGGCCCCCTTTGCTGGACACAAATGACCCACCCACACCACCTGTGCCTCTCAGTGCTGGAGACCCTTATGGAGAAATGGCCACAATGCTTCTCAGGGGGGTCTCTCCCACCTGCCCCCCGAGTGCCATGAGCTCCTGATTATTCCCCAGTAACCTACAGGATATATTACCAAGGGGTGAGGATCTCCCGTTTTCAGGGCATGTGAGCAGAATAGCTTTTTAATGAGAGGAAATCACCTCTGTTAACAAAGAGAACAAGAGCTTAGGGAAGGGACAAAACCAAACTCCTGGACCTTGCATTTTTTTTATTTTTTTATTTTCATTAGCTTCTGAGAGGAAGGGAGAAAGACAGAGCCATCAATGATGAGAGAGACTCATTGATTGGTGGCCTCCTGCTTGCCCCACACTTGGGAATCAGCCAGCAACCTGGGCATGTGCCCTGACCAGGAATCGAACTGAAACCTCCTGCTTCATAGGTCAACACTCAAACATTAAGTCACACCAGCTGGGAGGACCTCGCTATCCTTTGCCCACAAATGATGTCTAACAATCATGGGCCATTTATTAGGTGCCAGGCACGGCCCTAACACTTTGAACACATCATAAAATGCAATTCTCTCGCCAGCCCTATGGGGCGCTGCTATTAGTTCCGGTTTACAAATGAGGGGGCTGAGGGGACTGAGCTGCCCCAGGCTTCCTGGGAGATCTGATTCCAGTGTCAGGGGCTCTGCCAGGCTCAGCCACACACACCTCCCTCTGGAGTCACCTTTCCAGATTTGCTTCCATCTGGTGCCACATCCGCCTGCACACCCTCTCGCTCAGTATTCCCCCACCCACCCTGAAGCCCAGCTAAAAGCAATCCCACCACCAGGGAGCTAAAGCTTTTGTTAGCATGTTCTGCAAGTAGCTGGCCGGAATCCCCTCCCTCCTATCCTCCCCCTCTACCTCCCTCTTGGTTGACGCTTGTGTTTCTCAGTTTCTCTTCTCGTTTTCTCTCTTTCTCTGGCTTTTGTTTCCTCTTTGGTCTGCACACCTCTGTTGAAACTATCTCTAGGTCTACCTTCTTCACTTTCCATCTTAAAGGTCTGGAGGGAGAGAGTAGGAGTGAGAATGTGTGTTTTGTGTGTGTGTGTGTGTGTGAGAGAGAGAGAGAGAGAGAGAGAGAGAGAGAGAGAGAGAGAGAGAGAAAGAGAGAGAGAGAGAGAAGTAACATACCTTCAGATACCCGCCCCTAACATTCAGCTAGCCGGTTATTTGCTGCCAGCATCAGCAAACAGCACTAAAAAAAGAACAAGGTCACCTTGGAAAGACCCTGAGAGAATGTGCGTGCGGTCAGATTGAGAAAGCACTTAACTATTCTGGGATATCAGGACACACTGCTCAACCAGCCCCAACCCAGCCTGCTGCCACACCCCCGACCCCGTCCCTCCTCCCCCCACCCCCACCCCGTTGCTGATATCTCTGTCATGTGACTCCCCAGATGGATCCCTGCAGAGACCCATCCCGTCAGGGATCCCCACCCTTGTGGTGGGCTCCCTCAGACGCAGCCCCACCATGGTCGTCCGGCCTCAGCAGTTCCAGTTCCACCAGCCACAGGCGGTCTCTTCCTCACCCTTGATGGTGGTGGCGGAGATGGGACCCAAGCCGGCTCCCCCAGGGGAGCCTGCCCTCACGTGCATCAGCAGAGGCAGTGAGACCAGGATCCACTCGACCGCCAGCTCCATCATCATGGAAGGCAAGGAAATCCCCATCAAGAGCGAGCCTCCCCTCAAACCGCCTGCGTCTGCCCCACCATCCATCCTGGTGAAGCCAGAGAACTCCAGAAACAGCAGCGAAAAGGTAGGCATGAGCTGATCTTGGGGGGCATGGCTCTTCAGACCCCCAGCATGGCTCAGGGTCCCAGCTCCTGAGATTTTAGTCTTAGTGGATGAGAAGTCAAAGTGACTGCCTCTGAAGAGCCCTTCCACGCAGCCCCTCTGCCTCCTCACATCTCCTCTGAATATTTCAAACACTTCTTTCAAGGCACAAGGTGGCTTGGGGGAAAACATGGCTTAGGCATCAGAGAAATCTGGATTTGAATTCCAGCTCTGCTGCTACTTACTAACTAGTGACTTTGGCCCAAACACTTCCCCTTTCTGAGACTTTTTTTTTTTTAATCTGTAGAATGGTGGTAGTAAACATACTAGTAACAGCCTCATAGAGTTGGGGTGGAGATTAAGTGAGTAAAGATGTATATAGCACTTATAGAGGGCTTGACACAGAATTGTTCATGTCATACTCAATTATGACAACTGTCACGGTGACCTCTGTGGCAGAGATCAAACCTGTTCCTTTCTACTTCGGGGCTCTTCCCACTAGCAGACGGAAGAGATTTTGTTACTGTCCTTGAAGCAGGAGGGATGGAGGGAGGAGGATGCGGACATGAAGAAGTTAGGCAATGCTTATTAGTTTTTAGTTTCTTGACCATCACATGATCGCCGCCACCGTCCATTCCCCCGGAACTGCAAAGGTGGTGTGGCTCCTTCTCGTCACACACTTACTGCTGCTAATGGCCTGGCAGGGACCGTGCTAATTGTTTCATGTGTTCTATCTCATTGCATCCTGACAACAGCCCTCTGAAGAAGCAGTGTTATCACTGTCATCCTCCTTTTGACATGAGGACGTGGAGGTTTAAGGAGTTAGGGTACATTACCCAAAGGCACACGGCAGATGCACAAGTGTCTGCAGAGGAATCCGGAACTATAATAATACAGAAACTCATGCTCCTGACGCTGAGCTTGTAGGGAACAGAGTTTGGGAAAAGTTGGTGCTGACCAATGGAAATGTCAGGAAGTGGGGGTTTATCCTGAATCTAGTTTGCAAGTAAGTCAGAATCTTCCAGGCCCCAACTGCCCATCTCCCCGCCCCCCACCTCCACCCCACCCCTAAGCTGTTAGATACAGCCTTCAAACTGCAAGCGTCCAGCAAATACCCAGACCTCTGCTAGATATGGTCCCGGTCTAGTGCCATGGTTGGCAAACTGCGGCTCGCAAGCCACATGTGGCCCCTTGACTGTGGCTCTTCCACAAAATACCACTACCTGAGTGAGTCTATTTGAAGAAGTGGTGTTAGAAGAAGTTTAAGTTTAAAAAATGTGGCTCTCAAAAGAAATTTCAATCATTATACTGTTGATATTTGTCTCTGTTAACTAATGAGTTTGCCAACCACTGGTAGTGTAAAGAAATGTGGATTCTTGGTGGGGGACACCAGGATCAAATTTCCCGGACAAAAAGAAATCATTCCCGAGCAGTAGGCAGAACACACTATTCAGCCCCAAGAGAGGGACCAACAAAGCTAATACTGTGGGCACCAGGCAGGTGGGTAACAGGCCAGGAGAGATGGAAGGAAGGAGAGGGGAGGCTTATGCAAACAGGGGACACACCTCCCTATGGAGAGAGGCTGCTAATCAGTTGTTGCCAAAATGGGGCTCAGGCCCAGCTGCCGGGTCTCTGATTTTTAAAGAGACATACAAAAGACTGATTTCGATATGCGATCTCCCAACTTCCTACAGCTCTCAAACATTCTGCAGGCTGAACTCAGCCCACAAGTGTCCAGTGTGCAAACAGCTCTGAGGACTTCTCAGCCTGGGGGCTCTCTAGCTGGAATCAACAGGGTGGCCTCAGGAAGGGGGCGCCTTGACTTAGACCTCCATGGTAGGCGGAGAGAAGAGAGGGAAGGGGAACTGACACTTCCTAGAATAGACCAGCCCCTCTGGCCTCGGGCCCTTGCTCAGGCAGGCCCACCAGATTTCTTCTAGATAATTCCTAATGGGTCTTCAGTTCTCAACTGAACCAGCTCTGCCTCTAGGAAGCCTTCCCTGAATACCTGCCTTTTTGCTTTAGTTTCATACTCGTCTGCCTTGAGCATCTATACATCCCCCATCCTGGCGCTTGTGGTTATAATTGTCTTTTTGTCAAGGACAACTGTGTTCACTCTTGGGTTCACAGCTCCTCGCAGAGTACCCAATGCACAGTAGATGCATGCCGTTCCTGAATGAACACGTAAATGAGGCTGTGAGGCAGGCCCCGTGTGGAGAATCAGCATAGACCCGGTCCCAGCGTTAATATTATACCATGCCTCCCTCCTCACCTTCGTCCCTTTGTTCTTCTTCCTCTCACAGCAAGTCAAGACCGTGAGATTTCAGAATTATAGCCCTCCTCCCACCAAACACAGCACCTCCGGGAAGCCTGAACATCCCGCCACCCTCAAGGGGTCCCAGCCCGAAGCCGCCCCCTCGGGCCCCGAGATGACCATCCTATTCGCCCACCGCAGCGGCTGCCATTCCGGGCAGCAGACCGACCCCCGGAGAAAGTCGGCTTTCAGCAAGACCGTGCCCCCGGTGTCCACCGCCTCCGCCACACAGACCACGTTTCCTAGCAAATGAATCTACGGGTGGCTTTTCCTAGGCCCCAAAGAGGTGAATTGCATTTAAATACAGTCTGCCTCCACTGAGGGTGTCCTGCCATTCTTTGGGTGCTCGAGCCTGGGTCCTTGGTCTGCCCATGTTATCTCTGGGAAAGGAGCGGTGGGGGCAGGGACTCCTGTCCTGGGTGGGATGGGAGATTGGGCCTTCCCAAAGAATGACCCTACACAGCAAGGCCCACTGCTCAGACCAAAGAGTGGGAGATCATCCCGCCCGCCCCGTCCCCAGCCTGGTGTGTGTGTGCTCTTGCCTGTGTTCTGTGTGGAATCGGTGTGGTGTCCGGAAAGGGGCTTCGCTCAGGGGTGCGCCGTGGTGGTGGGGGTGTTGGCGTTGCTTCTTTGACCTAGTATCAAATGCTTATCCCGCTGCAAGGTTTTCAATCCATTTCCCACGTGCCATCTTACAGAAGAGAGCAGCAGGGAGCAGGCAGCTGTGGATGTGGTGCCGTGTGGTGCTAGGGACAAGCCATCCAGCCATAGGTTGACCTTCCCAGGAAGGCACAGCGAGCTTCCAAATCGCTTGTAGGCAGAGGGCTTTGGGTTTAGGCAGATACTCTGTTTGCATTGCAATGTTCTTTAGCTTCCCTAACTCCTTCTCCTCCAGGGAAGATGAGCTGTCTCACCAGTTAAAGGATAAGGCATCAGTATTGGTGGGAAGATGCCAGCCCATGGCTCGGGTGGGGGCACGTCGTAGAGGAAAGCCATTATCAAAGGGACTATGCCAAGGGTGGGGAACGTCTGGCCCGAGGGCGGTGTAAGGCCCGAGAAATCATTTGGTCTGGCCCTGCCGAGGCATTAGGGGTGAGTTAATTAAATGTTTGACCAAATATAGCAGGCTGAATTTTAGGTTGATCATTTTGTATAGCCAGAGAATGATGTCATAAATATCCAAATGGCCCTTGGCAGAAAAAAAAAAAAAGGTCTCCTACCCCTGAACTAGACAAAGGATGTTGGAAAGGAAAAGGAGAAGGAAGGGGAGGAAAATCCTGGAGAGAGAGAGAGACAGCAGGGAGATGATGAGAGAGAAAGAGAGGATTGGGGGAAAGCATCAGGAAAGAATTTCAAAGAGGAGAGATTGGCCTTGACATTCCTGACAAGCGGGAAAAGGAGGACGAGTCTGCACAACTAGGTGACCCCACTAGGAAGGGGCTGACGTGAGCGGAACACCCAGGCAGCCTTGTCAACGGCAGGAGGGCGTCCCAGAGGCTAAGGCAGCGCTGTCAGACCCCGCCTGTTCTCAGGAAACGTCACATTCACTACATTCCCATCAATGCAAGCACTTTAATGCACCAATGCCATTCGCTGCTAATGCGGGGTGCCCTTAACAAAAGGCAGGTCTGCTTACAACAACCCCCTTCTTGAAGAATCCCCACTTCTTCAAGGTCTGGGTATAAAAACACATACTTTACACACCCACCCACACACTTGACAAAGTGAATCGTCCACAGACTTTTCCAGCTCCTAATAAGACAAAAACAAAACCATAATCTCATCGAGGAATCATGCACATGTGTCAGACCTGGATCAGACCCATGTCTACCCCACAGAACCGGCATCCCAATTCCACGCCTCACTGAATGACCCATGTGAAAAATGGGAGAAAGACACAAGGACAGGGAGACATGGGATGATAGGAGTTCCTACACCTCATCTTTATCAAAAAAAAAAAAAAAAAAAAAATCACCCAGATAAGTTTAGCAATCTAGTCTACACCCAGAGTGGCAGGTATAGAGCATGACCAGCCAAGTCAGTAGCAATGGATCCAGTTCATTTTTAACCGTTGGGGCTGACAAGCAGGTTGTTTGGATGTAACAGATGCAATTCATGCTTCCCAAGTGAAACCATATTCTTCCCATTGTCCTCTCGCTCTCTAGGGCTACCTCTCTGAAAACTAAACAGCTCCAAAGGCTGGCCATCCCCACTCCACCTGCCCTCTTCGCCATGCCCAGCCTCAAACCAAATCCCATCTCTGTGGAGTCAAATGGGGATTTGAAAGAGGCAAGAGGGTGGTATTTCCAAGTAAAAGTTCAACTCACCGGTGCCTCCAATCATTTATCCCGTCAACACGTTTTAGACATTGCCTATGTGCCCGGCACAGCAATGATTCCCAACAACCTTATAAGCAGGTGTAACTGTCCCCCCTATAGAGCCGAGGACATCGAGGCTGGAGAGCACCCACAGGCAGTGGCAGAGCAAGACTGATAGCTGCCCACACCCCCGAGTTCAAGCTACCTCCCTTCCCATCCCACTTGGGACCCTGCTGCATGAACCCAGGATGCTGGTGGCAGACCACGGGAGGCGGCAGGGCACTGTGGTGGCAGGTGTTGCACACAGATTGGGTTCAAGTCCGCATATACCGCCTCCTGGCTGTGTGATGTTGGGCAAGTCACCTAACCTCTCTGGGCCTTGCTTGCTTACATAGAGAGGATAAACGTGCAGCTTCAGTGGGCTGTTGTGAGGACTAACTGAGATGGAACTATGACGTGCCTTAAGCCATGCTGGCACAGAGCAAACACGTAACAAATGTTAGATGTGACTTTTTTTGAGGAAAGAAGCCATGGAAACGCCAGGTGAGGAAGTCTAAAATAAGGGCGCGCCCAGGGCTGTGGTGTTAAAAGACCAGCGTGGCCTAGTCATGGGGGTTATAGCACAACCTTATAGCTCAGCCATGGGTCTTGGAGGACAAGTAAGAGTCAGACGGAGAAAGGGGAGGGAGGAAGGCTGTCCCAGGCAGGGGAGGAAGCACCTGGCAACTGAGTGTAAATGGAACAATCCAGGCACGTTCTCTTACACTTAGAGAACCCACCCCTATGTGGAACATTCCAGGATCCTGGGCAGAACCCTAGCGCCTGGAGTCTGAGCCAAACATTTCCTCCATAACAGTTCTATCCACCCCCACCCCCCACTCCTTCCTTCCCTCTCCCCTCTTCTTCCCCCGTAAACTCTCAATCCCTAGCCAGGGCGCCCCTCGACTTGTGACAGACCTGGCACCTCTGTGCCAGGCAAGTTGCCCAGGGCAGGCTCTGAGGTCCGAACTTGAGGACATGGATTCCTTAAGGGGCATCCACACCTGCATTTAGGGCTGGTCTCCTCCCTCCTCTGGTGGGACCAGCACAACTCTCTGCCCATCACCGGCCCTCAGACAGGGCTTCTGGGGGCTGAAGAGCAATGCCCTCCCTACCTGTGACGCTGAGATGCAGGACACGATTCACTTCCTTCCAACGTCTCTTGAAAATTCAGGTTCACACCAGGCCCGCCCTCCTGAGTGGCAGCAATCTGGGGCCTGGGCCAGGCCCAAGGCTGCTTCAGCCAAATGGACCTGCCGGGCGGGCGTGGGCACGTGACCTGCTCCTGACCTGCCCACGTTCCCCTACACACCGTGTGCCGGGCTTCACCTCCGAGTGCTCACAAACCCCTGACCCTCAGAGCTGGATCCTTAGAGAGCAGCTGGCCCAGGGCACGTGAGGGAGCATGATGGGCTGCACGTGGACCCCGGAGAGCGGGCCCCGGTCGTTTCGAGGTGGGAACCCGCATCTGTGTGGTGAACAGGCTCCTGGTGATTCTTGTGCACACGGAGTGTGAGAACTGAGCCCGCCTGTCTGGCGCTTTCTAGCAGAGCTGACATTCAGCAGGAGTGTGGCCACACTGGCTGTTAACACTGAAAGGGGCCTGTACTGATGGGTAAACCGTGGGTGCTCTGAGCTCTCCAAAACCCCTCCCACTCCTGTACCCTCGCCCTTCCTCCAAGCCCTCCCCATCACTCTCACCTTCCAGCAGGAAGGGATGAAGGCCAGGTGCAGCTGAGACCCAGGCAATGAAACCCGCCTGCGTTCTGATTGGCTAGTGCCTATCCACCCGTTTAACTATCTTGGCTGGTCACCCTGTTGTAAAGAATAAGGCCCCGAGAGTCACTCAGGGGCTGGGAAGCTGCTGTGGAGCCCAGCATCCTTCCCGTCCCCCACCCCTGCCACTGTCCAGCCCTTGGCAGTCACCATCAGGCCCCCTGCTCGCCAGTCTGTTTCTCAGCCGGTACTTTCACAGGCCTGAGCAAAGTCCTTAGCTTCCCAGCTCCTCTGGCATCTATTTGGCGGGCACAGGAGTCATTTGTTCCAATGTAATGAGCAGGCATTCATCCTCATCGTCTCACCCGCCTCTGTCCACACAGGCCAGCCCCGCAGCCTCTGCCCACCCCACCCCCCTTCCCGGGAAGAGGGCAGGGTGGCAAAGTCCCAGCAAGGCTCTCCAGGTGGGAGCAAGTAATTAGCAAGCTGGGCCCTCCCGGGCCAGCAGCCACTGCCACTGATGCTTCTCCTTTTTCTTTCTTGAGAGTAGAGACCCCAGTTCTCCTTTGGCTAAGAGGAGCGAGTGTTTGCACTTGCAGCAGCCACTCGGGGGACCAGGAAAGACAGTCGCTTGGGGAGTGTGTTTGTCAGGCAGGACCAAACCCAGAGGAGTTAATTCCAAAGATCCTTGTAGCAGGTTGGAGTCACTGAGCATCCATCTCACCAGGACGTTTTGCTTGAAATAGAACAATGTTAAATGATCAAGCCATCTGTTTGCCCGGTCATCGTGTTGTGTCCTAGACCAGAACAGAAACAAAATGTCCTAGGAAGCCCTTCTGCCTCCTGGCCTCCACTTTGACAAATAGAATGTAGCCGAGGTGGGATCAAGGTGACGGGGTAGGGGGGGGGGGGGAGGACATCAAGGAGATTACAGATTCATTCATACATACATATATCTATTCATTCCACAGCAGGCATCCATCACCCACGCTGGGTCAGGCTCTGTGGGAGCCAGGATAGATAAAATAACACATGGCCCTCAAAGAGAGTGGATTCTCATTACTTTTTTCTGGACTTGGGATCCCTTTCTGCTTTTCTCCCTTTTTAAATGAACCATTATGCATATGTATATGATACAGGATCATAAAACAAACAACTATACACCTACCACCTAGCTTTA